TTTATCATTTTCAAATTACCCAAAAAATAAAATTTATAAAATATAAATATAAAATATATTTTATTTTTATGGATATTTTAAAATTATAAATTTTATAAATTAACCAAAAATTATTAAAAATATGATATAAATAATTTATTTTATATTTATGATAATTTTAAAAATATAAATTAATTTGATAATTTTTTGTTAATTTATAAAATATATCATTTTCAAATTACCAAAAAAATAAAAAATAAATTTATTTATGTTTTTATAATTTATTTTTGGTTAATTTGATAATAAATAATAAAAATAATTAGAATTTTAATTTTTTAATAATTTTTAGGTTGACTATACAATGATATGGCGTGTTGACTAACTCTTTGAATTTTTTAATTTCTGAACCACGGGTCAAAATTGATTATATGGTTATAGTTCAAGCCAAAATAAGGTATTAACCCCTTTGAAATACATAATTTTTTACTAAGCTACCCTCATATTCTCTTTCTTTTTTTATATAATTGAAGGCAATAAAGGTAAATTACACTTTATAACATACAAATTTAATTAACAAAATCCTTCATAAACCCACCAAACAAACAATAATGATGTTTATCAAATCCATAATAAACCCAAAACTCTCGTATATCCATAGTTTTTCAAAACCAAAGTTATTCCAAAACCTTTATTTTGCAAAATACACGATGCAAACCACCCCTAACCAATATACACACATTCTATATATATATATATATGCTTTTCTGATAGGAGTAAGATGACCACTAACGATAGTGGGAGAGTGATTGATGATTGATTCAAAAGAACTGAAATGTGAGGGAAAAGCAAGGATGGTGGAGTTGGAAAGTTTTCCCCAAAAGAATAATAACAGCTAACACCAATCAAGCACGCAAAGCAACAAACAAATCATTAAAAAAAAAACAAAAGAAAAAATTATTACCTGGTGTGTGATCAACATAAGCAAGATATCCAAGCAAGGAACAAACTTGGAACGACAGCCGTCCATGAAACCGCTCTGCAACAGGAACAGGAATCCTTTGTACCTCTGTTTGGCCGCAATCAAGTAGACGATTTCCGACATGTACGGCCAAGACAACTTCGTGTAGATTTCCCTGTTCTTCGTGACCTCCTTTATCAACAGATCTTGATGACTTGTAAGCACAGCCGAGTCTTGTGACTCGGTGGTTGACTCATTCTCGAATGGCTCGTTTGGATATTTTTGAAGCCAGAGTTTCTTGCATCTCGTTACAGCGTACTCTTCGTTTTCTGAGTTGAGGATCGTTGGCTTCCCGATTAGCTTCGAGAATCGTTGCTCGCAGTATTGCCTGTAGTTTTCCTGGGGAAGAGAAAAGGAGAGGAAATTTTTTGAGGGATTGGGGTGAAGAAGGAAAATACAACTATCCCGGGGAACCAAACAGGGGAACTTTACTGATTAGAAGTGCAGAAATTCGCTTTTTTATCACCAAACGATGACAAGAAAATGCGGGGGTTGCAGTTTTCAGCTGGCTAAACTTTCCCCAGGAACCAAACAAGTAAGTTTGGCTGATGAGAAGTTTAGAAAGGAAACAATATCTTCTTCCACTTTACCCACACTTCCCCAGCTCCAACCAAGGAAACAAAATCCGTTTTCTAGGAACCAAACAAGAAACTTGACTAGTCAAAACTGCAGAAAGCTACCATCTTTCTTCATTTTATCACAACCATCCATCGCCAAACAAGTTGTAGAACTTCCCCAGGAACCAAGCAACAAAATTCATCTACCAGAAAACAGAGCAAATGGCGATTTCCAGACAGTAAAAAGAGAAGTAAAAGATTCGATCTTTTTTCCAACGTACCGGATTCAAACAGTGGGAGAACCAGACCCACTCGACATCAAAAGGAGGAAGAATCATCGGAACCGTTGACCCCACATTGTTGATCATCAAATCAGAAACCAACGGCATCCATAGCTCATCGTACCTTCACCCAAAAGAACAGGGTCAGAAAGAGTTAAAGCTTCGATCTTTATCGTTTCTTTTCGTCTATGAAACCCACCTTCTTACTGCTTCAGCGAGACAACCGGGCTCGTGAAGCCAGAGCGACTCACTGACATTCCTCAGGAACCCAATGTTCCGCCGGGCGGCGGAAACGAGGTCGAGGCTGACCCGGACGGCGGCAAGCTCGGGCGAGTCGGCGAAGGATCTGGTCGAGGGGAACTTGTCGGAGAGCTGGAGTCGGCCGGAGGAGGAGGCGGAGGAGCCATTTTGGGTCGCCGGCGGCATATGGGTCTATTGAATCGAATGACTAGAGAGTGTTGGGATTTGGTAAAGTGGGGAATCATTTATGTAATATATCCCAAGCAAGGTTAGTTAGAGGAATTTAATTGAAAATGAAAACAAAAGATGTAACGACAAGGACAGGAATTCAGGTTGTTTTGGTCGTCACTTGTGAGCACGTGGCGGGTGGGAATTTCATATTCTGTTTGGGGAAAAAAGTTAGGAAGAAGAAGGAAGGAAGAGGGAAGAAGACGAAGAGATGAGATGATTCCGTTGCTTTAATCATTAGGAAAGGTTTGAGCTTTCTAATCCTTTCATGAAATGTGTAGTTAATAGTCTGAATGGTTAAAGGTCGTCCTAGAAATTACTAATCGTCGTTCTAACTTAATACGTAAATTACTGAATTACCCTTTTAACATTCAAAATCAAACCCTACACTGCTACACACCCCTTCCCAAACACTCCCCTTCCCAACCAATCACCTTCCTCTACCCGACTCCCAGCAGCAGAGACGCTGCGCCGGCCAGCAGCTTCGCCGACGACCCGCTTCCCCACCGGCAGAGCTTCCCGTCGCCGTCAGCCGCTTCCCGTCAGCCGTCAGCCGCTCCCCCGTCAGCCGACTCGTCCTCAGCCGCTTGCCGTGCCTCCACTCACCGTCGCCGTCCGCCACGCCTCCACTCGCCTGCCGTCCAACCTCGCCGGAGAAGGTAAGTCTCACTCCTCGCCTTCAACGACGCGTCGTCGCCCACGACCGAAGCCGCCGTTCTGTTGGCCTTCGGTCAAACCAAGGTCAACGTTCGGTTGGCCTTCGGTCAAACCAAAGTCAACATTCGGTTGGACCATGGTCAAACCGAAGTCAACTTTCGGTTGAGCCATGGTCAAACCAAAGTCAACTTTCGGTTGAACCATGGTCAAACCGAATTCAATTTTCGGTGGGTTTGATTTTAATTAATTTTAATGCAATTAATTAATAAAAATTGTTATTAAATATTGTAAATTAAGTAATAATTATAAATAATTGTAGTTAATTATAAAAATTATATTGGAATAGTTTTATGAATTCAATTATGAAAAAAATATTGTGAATAATGTAATAAAAATTATCTGAAATTTTTAAAAAGTATCAAAATTTAGAAATATAATCTGTAAATTTGTAATTAATGTTAAAAAAATATTAGAATAATGGGAAAATTAAAAATGTAGTCGAAATTTAGAAAAAAGACTAAGAAAGTTGTAATTAATGTTAATAAATTATCAAAAAATTACAAAAAAATTAGAGAAAATTATCAGAAAATGTTAATGCATTTGATTATCATTAATTGTAATTCTTTTTTTTTTTAAGATGTCTGGACATGGAATAGGCAAACCGTACATGAATAAGAAAAGAATGGAAGAAAAAACGGAAGGAAGAATGGAAGGTCGTGCTTGTAGACTTACAGCGACCGGTAGAAAAGAAAATGAAGAAAAAAATCCACGTAAGGTTAAGGGGAAGAAGAAGAAGGCGGAAATAGGGCGTTCCTACGGTCGCCCTACTATGGGATAGTTGTCTCTTAGTCGAGGTACTACCTCCACCCCTACTCCTGAGGATGCGACGCCGTGGGAGGCTAATTGGAGTGATTCAGTTTCTATGGACGACGACGATGGTGATGATGATGATGATGATGTGGCTGTTGATGAGGTTGGGGATGTCCCACCTGAATATGATGTAGGCATCGGTAAGAAGAGACGAGTTGGGACATCTTCTACAACTTCTTCGCACTTTCCACAGCGTGGGCTAGATGGACGCTACGTTGCGAGACGTAGTAGTGAGGAAGACAGTGATGATAAGAAGAGGAAGAAGGGAGTGGGGGGGGGGGGACATGTCGTGGCGCCTGACATCGAAGTCTCAGATGTGTTCAGGTGGACCTGTGATTCCCGATGTGATCCCTAGCTTTAGAGGTCACATTGCCTTTGCATTGTTGTCATAGATCTGGTAGTGTGGAGTCTTTGAGGAGATATGAGTGGAGTTCAGAGGGTTCTCAGAAGGTGGTTGAGGGCACAGGATTGTCCCACTTGGCAGGGTGTATGATGCAGCTTTTAGATACAGCTTTGATAACGGCATTTGTGGAGAGATGGCAGCCGGACACGAACACCTTCCATATGCCATTTGGAGAGATGTCGATTCTTCTCCACGACGTGCATCACATTCTTCGTATTCCAGTTGAGGGGGAGCTGATGAGAGATGATCCGCATCCAGATGTTCTTAAGTTAGACATGCATGATCTAGTTCGGGTCCCGGTGGATGGTCCTGTTGGTGGTAAGTGGAAGTCGAAGTGGTTCCTTAATGGCGGTATACACGCAGAGGGATTGTTGGTGCGTGGACGAGAAATGAAGATTAGGGACCTGGAGGTGCAGACTTACTTGTTTGTGTTGTAGGGATCCACACTTTTTGTGGATAAGAGTCGCGATCGCCTCCGTCCTGCGATCAATGTATTTCTGAAGGACCAACGACGAGTGGTCGGTTACGCCTGGGGAGCTGCTGCACTCGCCTATCTCTACAGACAGCTAGGGATGGCCACACGAGTGGGGAGTAAGAGTATTTGTGGTTGTTTGACTCTGCTTCAGGCGTGGATATATGAGTACTTTCCACTCTTCCGCCCGAGCCAGATTCTCTAGGCTCCAGATGCTCATCGTGCTTCCTCGTGGGTGTGTCACCGCTTTGCAGGTGGTGATGATGCTAGACAGCGTTTGGTACGGTATCGACAGATGTTGGATGAGATGTCAGGGGAGGATGTGTCTTGGACTCCTTACGGGCGAGATGCTGGCACGGAGGTACTATGCTCTTTGTATACTGGTGTCATTCGCTTTGCTGATGTTGCTGAGGGTTATGATCCTGCACGGTATCGCCGACAGTTTGGGTACCGACAGACTATCCCCCGTACGATGATGGTTCCCAAGGATGTGTACCGCCCAGCTTCTTGCAGCACCTACATTGTTTTCTGGGAGGGTAGCATGGATCAGTTATGGGGCAAAACATTCCTCTTACTTGATCCATTCGGAAATAGCTCCAGCGGATGATTGTGAAAACCCAAATTAGCACCAGGATTCTTTGTATTAGCCACTGCTAGTATCAACCAATATCCATCATCTGACCGCTCAATCTTGATATGAAATTCACACCCCAACTTTCCAGAAGAAGTAAGAGGCCTCCTTTCCTTAGCCGGATCAGAATCAGGAGCCTTCGATTTTTTCTTCCTACCATGAGTGCACTTCAAGTATCGTCGCCTACTATCTTCATTTGAATTTTTTTTATTTGATGCCTTCACCAAATAAAACCCAAAACCCTTGACAATCTCAGTAGCTGCTGCATATGCAATCAAATCCGTATCATATTTTACTCCATTGACGAATTCTGAGGTGTAATCTTTGCCATCCCCTCCATAATCATCAATATCCTACAATGTTAGATCTCATGATATAAGTAGGACTCCACAATAATAGAAAATCTAACGACTACATTTAATTTAACAAATAATTTAGCATTCTGAATATTCTCCTAAGCAAAATCCAACATTTAACATGACAAAATTTAGCATTCTCTATTATTTACATAAGAATCATATTAATCACATTCTAGAATTTTTTTATTGCGTATTATACATCTAATCTTAATTTTGAATACAAAAACATTCAATTTCACAAATAATTAGGCTCATAAATTTTAAAAATAATATAAACTTAAATTCAACAAACAATCATATAGACCAAACTATAAATCATAACAAAAAAATAGAAATATTTGATATAAACTTAAAAAAACCCAAAAGCCACCAACAGAAGCAAATTTTCGGTTCCACCATGGCTAAACCGAAGCCAATTTTCGGTTTCACCATGGCCTAACCGAAGGCAGGGTTCGGTTCTACCGTGGACCAACCGAAACCAATTTTCGTTTCACCCATGGCCCAAACGAAGCAGATTTTCGGTTCATCCATGGACCAACCGAAAATCACATTCGGTTGAGAATTTTTGGTTTTTTTTTAAAAAAAAAAGATATTTTTACCTCGTCGGAGTCGCTACTCATTGTTCGGACGTATGCTCGACGATTTTGGCTTCCAAATGTCGATGATGAATTCGAGAGTGTGGGAGAATGAGTGTTTTTTGCTTTCTAAGTGAAGGTGGTGTTTGTTTGCTAAAGGAAAGGTAATGATGTTAAAAGGTTAAAAGTGTAACTTTGTTGTTTTTTAGGACGATCATTAGTAATTGTTAGGACGACCTTTATCAACTCCCTTAATAGTGGGATCAGATGGGTTGCTAACCATCTACCCGTTAGTATCATCCTAATTAGGGATGGCAATGGGTCGGGTTGGGGCAGGTTTTGTCAAACGCAAACTCAAATCCATGGGTTTATCCGCCAAAAAAATCCGGGGGAAAAACTGTTGGATTTGAAAAACTCAAACCCAACCCAACCCGCTGGGTATCCGCGGGTTCATGGGTACCCGTGGGTTGTTGTGGTAAAAAATTTACAATAACAAATTTCTTTCAAAATAAAAGTTTAACATCAATTTTCTCATACAAATTGTTCATACAAAAAACATCAATCTAGAACATACAAGCAAACCGCAAATGATCAATACAAATTGTTCAAAATTAAAGATAAACATCTATAAATAACAAGATTAATTGAAATCTTCTTCCTCGTCAAATAAGTTTCTTCACTCTCCATTCCATAATATCAATTTCATTCTAAACAATTAGAAAGAACAAATTATACATGTCTCCACAAACATAAATAATATTAGTTGTTTAAAGAAGATATATTATTTAGAATATTAAATATACCGGGAAAGTAATTATATGTGTGGGCGGGTACCCATAAGGCGGGTTTACCTAAACTCAAACCCAACCCGGTGAATAGTGTAGCGGATTTTGTTGACATCCCTAATCCTAACCCGTCTAACCGCCTTCCTTTGAATTTTGAGTGTGTTATTGTGAGGGGGGGTTTATTTTATGACGTCATGTCATGATCTCAGCCGAGTGAAAAGTACGCGGTTTTTGTGGTGGGAATAGCCCAACAGTCAAGCAATTTTCTTTTGGGTAAGTTTTTTTACATCTCTCCCCCTCCGCCGGAGTGTAGAAACCCAACCGGTTCCCACAGTCCTTCCCGTCGGTGGAGCGTCCCTCACCAGTTGCCTTAGCCGGGACTGGGTTCGCCTGATCTACCCTCAACGAGGTCTCCCTCCACGCCTCGTATCCCATTCCCCCCTTTTCTTCTCCGATCTCCACTATACTTCTTTCTAAGCGATTCGATTACCCAGTAATCGACGATCTAGCCATCACTGCAATTTTCGTTGCCGCAACTCCCACCTTGTCGTCGTCGCCGCAATCATCACCACAGCAATCCCGAAGCCTTCTTTTGCTCTGTCGTGACTTTCACATGCAAAGTCGTCGGGTGCAGTTCTCTCTCCCCAGTCATCTTCCCACACAACTCCTTTTCCCCAGTTCCATCAATCGATCGATCTCCTCCACAAGCATCTCCTGGAAGTTGAAGACAAAGTCTCGCCTCTTTTGTATTTGAATGGGAGTTTTTCTTATGTTTTTTTTTACTATAATCATGTTATCATTATTTGCTTTTATTTGTTTTGCACATACTTTCTAGATCTGATATGGCGACGAGATCTGAGTTTAGATTTGAAAATGGCAGGAAACTGGGAATCAAAGTGTAGATCTGATATGGAGACGATGACCCGTGAACAGGTGAGGTTGTTTGTAGTGAAAATGGTGGCGGAGTGAATTGTTGATGTGGTAACCATTTCACTAGGACTAGTTTTGGTTTAAAATACTAGTGTTGTGCGGTAAATTAGGATTTTGTGGTCTTTTTTGTTTTGTTCGTTTAATGTTGTAGCAATGTTGTTTACACTTATATTGTTTTAAAAGGTGGAAGTGGTAGTGATTGTTTTTAGTTTTGTTTTTGTTTGCAACTGTGGCCTCATGAAATCATAAGGAGTGCTAAGAGAAGAGATTTACATTTGATGAAAGATGTAGACAGTGGAGGATTCTCTGTAATAGTGTTTTTGAATAGTAGTATAGTGATTTTGTAATAGTGATTTTATAGATATGATGGTAGTAGCAATGATTCTATAGCCGTGAATTTATGGATCCCGCATTTACGGATATGATGTATAGCAGTGTTTCTGATTTTGTATTAGTAGTGATTTATTATTATTGACTACAACAACCTATATAGTAATATTGATTCTACTAAAAAATTATCAAAATCACTACTAATATATCATAAAATCAATACTACACACTAAATTACTACAACATATATGAAGAAAAGAGTTAGTAGTATTTTCCAAAGAATGTAGCCTTTTACTCGAAGATAGAGAGACGTGATGGAGAGAAGGGAGAGAGAGATATGTTGAGGGAAACTTGTAACTGCACCCATTAAAATCCCAAAAAACCAATCCCACTAAATTCGTCCTATCACAAAACGACATAAATAAAAATTGGAAATTGATAATTAATGTAGTCTCTTCCTAAATTACCCTTGTTATTTTCGTAGCCATTAGATTTAAATTTGGAATGGACAGTTAAGATTATAGTTAGGAGGTGCTATAAACCCCTATATAGTTAGCACCCTAACTTCTCCCCGTCAATAGGGTTTAAGCAAGTGATTAAAAGACGTTTGGACTGTACACATGTATGATCTATCTCATATGGAAGGAGTTACATTCCTAATTTTATAAGAGTTGGCACCATGCTAACCACTCCTATTACCATTCAAGATTTTAATTTTATAAGAGTTGGCACCATGCTAACCACTCCTATTACCATTCAAGATTTTAATTTCAATCAGACGGTGGGAAGTAATGAGGGGCTTATTTGGTATTTTAGAAAATAAAAATTAATAAATAAATTAATTTTAAATTAGCTCTCTCCTCTTTTATAGTAACGTGTGAAAAAATACTACTGCTTAAATTAATAGTGATTTTATAAAGATGATGTAGTGATTTTATAATTGTAAGTAGTGATTCTGTTGCTATCAACAATTTTAATTTTGTTTATAGTTGATATTCTATTGTTATTAGTAGTGTTTCTCATTGACGACTTTACATAAGAATCAACTGAAAATTATAAACCATTACATAAAATACAAAATCACTATTGGTAAATCAAATATTATACAATCGCAATTAATAAGGCCATATCCAATACATAGAATAGCTACAAATCAAACTACAAAACACTACTCGTTACAAAACCAAAACCGATAGAGGTGGTAATAGAGATCTGAGAGTTGGGGAAAACTAATCGCTACTACATATAGGGTTAATTGCATGGTAGGTCACTGAGATTACAAAATTTGTTTAAGTTTGGTCACTCTAAATATTTAAATTTATTGATGGTACTTTAGTTTACTGAAATCGTTCACGTTTGGTCACTCTCCGTCCAACTCCGTTAACTTTGGCTGATGTGGCAGTCAACTATCAAAGTTGACCTTAACTTAGTGACGTGGCAATTAAGAAAATAATTGACTGCCACATCAGTCAAAGTTAACGGAATTGGACGGAGAGTGACCAAACGTGAACGGTTTCAGTAAACTAAAGTACCGCCAATGGATTTAAATATTTCGAGTGACCAAACTTGAACGTTTTTTGTAATCTCAGTGACCAACCATGAAATTAGCCCACTACATATATGATCATTCATCTACCGATAAAACACTACTACACACTAAAAGGTAACTTTTACAAATTTGGCCGCCTATGAATCATGCAATGCAAAGCAGATGAAGAATGTCCTCAAGGTAGCAATCAACATTGTGATCGAGGATGGCGACGATGTGAACAGATCTAACCGCCGTCCGCTACTCGTTGATGTTAGAAGCGGGACCGCAATCGCGCCGCAGTCGAGTTTCAACCTGTCTCTTTGAGAATGGCATCAACGTGAACAGATCTGATCCGCTGCCCACTTCTCGCCGATGTCAGATGCGTGACACAATCACGTCGCAACCTACCTCTTTGCTTCTCATCGACGTTGGAAGCACGACCGCCCACTTTCCGTCGCAAGTCCTG